ATTTTCCAGGAAGAATGGGAACCAGCATAGCAGGCTCCTGGAGTCTGTTTTTTTGCACACATACTCTTGCTTGGAGTGTAATTCTAATCTTCACATCAGTCCTTTTGAGCTGGCATAGCCACAATGACACTGAGTTTTTCTGGGCACTGTACATTGCACTGGTTCTGCTGGGCTCCATTGTGTAGCTGGCATTGCCGCAATGGTGCTGGGTTCTGCTGGGTACTCTGGATTGCACTGGTACTGCTGGACACTCTGCATTGCACCAGTTCTTTTAGGCTTGCAAAAAATCCCCCCCCCCTTCAATTTCTACTGCAGAGATTCTCTGGTTTGACCTTAGTCCTGCTTGCTTTGCCCTGCCACAGTGGCTCTGGTTCTGATGGGCACATTGCACTGGTTCTGCTGGGCTTCAAAAATCCCCCCCTTCAGTTTCTACTGCAGAGATTCTTGGGGACTTTGATTCAGTTCTGCTGGGCTTCTATTGCTATTTTCCCCTCCATTGGAAACAATGGAGGATGGGAGTACTTTATTTGGAAGTCCATATTATTGAAACCCCTTGTCCAATCATTTTGAAACTTGGGTGTTCTTCTGAGGAAAGGCACCAGCAGCTATGCTGCAAATTTGGTGCCTTTACCTTTAAAGAAGCCTCCCCAGACCCTTGGATACCCCAGGATAGATTCCTCATTGAGTATAATGGTCCCCATAGGGTATAATGGAGCCGGGGGGATGGGATTCCTGGAAAATCCCAAATCCAAATACTGTACTGGTAGTGGTATTTGGGAATATTGGGAAATACCAGTATTTTTCAAGTCCCATATACCCAATTTCAAAACCAAAAAGATCCCCCCCACACACACACACACTGCTAATGGATGATATGAGAAGACCTCATTTGCAGCACTTGGGACTTCTCTGTTCTCTGAGGGGTCACAATACAATCAGCTCCTGCCAGTTTCACTTTCTCACTCATTGAGTCACCTGTGCTTAGGGTTTCCATGGCACGAGGCCTTCCACTGATCTTCTACACTGCCTGCCTGTGTGCCAGTATGTCATTTCCAGGTACAACACCCCCATGTCCCTGGCCTTAGCTGAAACATCTGCAGAGGAAGCAAACTGTGTGGGGCAGTAGTGATTGTTCATTCTGGAGAAAGAGAAATACCGTACTAAATATGTAAATAGCGGTCCATGAATCAACTTGCATGTTTTTACCGTTTTCTCTTGTTAACCTGTAGAATTATCTTTCTCTTAGGAAGTTCAAATACTGTGTGCTATGTTTTCTAGGTTGATTGCTTCAGAATAGAGGTGATTGGCTGCTGCTGCTTCACTGGGGTTCAATAGTTAAAATACTTCTTTCCCCTGAATGTTCAATTTACCTTCAGGGCTGGGGTCTGAGACCTGTGCTCTTGCAATAAAGTTGAGAAAAGGAAGGCATTGGCAGTTAGAAAATGAACAGATGGAAGCAGAAAACTGTGAGTTTAGGTAGGTCGGACACAGCCTCTGGGGCTGCAAAGGTCCACACTGTTGCTTTGGGAACCTAGTGTAGGATCAGTGGTTTTGCTGCCTTCTGTAGGAATCACTTTGCTTCCATTGTCCTCTCTTAGTGTATAAATCAAAGAGGTATTAATATCTCAAAGAAGTATTAATATCTCTAAATCTAAAGGTTGAAAGCATATTTCAAATCCACCATAAATGTCCTGTGCACCAGAGGCAGCTATATAGCACTTACTGTGAATTAGCCAAGCCAGGAACATTTACCTGTACGTACAAGAACAAACTCTTGGAAATTACAGTTAGTAGCATATGCTAACATAACACATGGAACCATAAAGAGAAGACATTCAGTTGGGAAAATGTATGAACTGTTCTCATGTAGTTTGCTATTATGAAATCAGACTTGAGAAGTAAGATGGGGCAAAGCACAAGAAATGTGCAATTCAGAATGCAATTTAAATTCATAGTGATGTCTGACATCCAAGTGTTTAATCAAACTCCAGTGAAGTCAGTGTGAAGCTATTTAAATAGACATGTTCATGCTAATGCAATGCTCTACATGACAGCTGCCCCATTTGAAATGCTAGAGCCAGAAATGCTTTTATTGAGACTCTGCCAAAGTTTTTACGACAAAACTTTACTTAAAAGGGGAAAAAAACACTTAAAAAGACAAGCTGCAACTCTTAAACCCCATTAGAAATAGTAGGCAAGGACTTCCAGGGGGCATCTCATTTCTTCTAGACTTTCTTCTCACCCTTCTGGTTCTTGATTCCAGTTTTTGGGTAAGGTTTGTTTTCCCCTCCCTGTGTCTTACTGGCATCTCATTTCCCCCTCCCATGGTATTTTCTCTGTTCCTTCCCTGAAAGCCGCCACAACATTTTCCCTTTTCCTGCTTCCTTCTCTCCTTCTCACTCACCATCCAAGCAAACTTTTATATGTTCCCAATCACCATTATTTGTTTCATTTATACCCCACATTTCTCCACAGTCTGGATCAAAAGTAGCTTACATTATTCTCTCCTCCATTTTATCCTCAATCCTGTGAGGTAGTTTCAGCTGAGAATGTATAACTGGCCCAAGGTTGCCCAGTGAGTTTCCACAGCATAGTGATTATTCGAAACTGGGTCTTCCAGATCCTAGTCTGAAACTAGGCTTTTGTGGGGTGGTTGTTTGAACAGTAGCAAGCAGCCAGCTGTAGGTAGGGTTGCCAACCCCCTGATAGGGATGGGTTTTCCCCCAATTTTTGGGGCCCCAATCCACTGCCAGCCAGCTGACTGGTAGGGGGAGCCCCACCCCTAAAGAGCCCCACCGTGCCCAATGCCCCAGGACAATATCATCAGTGACCCCACAGTCCAATTTCCCTGAGTGAGGACCTGCATCTATACAGTGAGCAGATGCTGCAAATGGACAGAGCATTAGAGATCAACATGGTGACTTCTGACAACCAGCCTAAGGAGAAAATTCTTAGCCCTCTTTACTCTGAGATCCCCACCTATGTGGCTTTTCTTATGCTTGGGTGAGCCAGCTTGTTGTAGCCAGGGTCCAGCCTACCTAAGGGACCGCCTTTCCCCGCATGTTCCCCCAAGGGCACTACGGTCGGGGAGCCAAAACCTCCTGGATATCCCAGGCCCAAGAACCATCAAATTTGCTGTGCCCGGGGCCAGGGCATTCTCGGTGGAATGAGCTCCCAGAAGAGATCCGGGCCCTGCGGGACCTTGTAGAGTTCCACAGGGCCTGCAAAACAGAGCTCTTCCACCAGGCTTTCGAGTAGGAGCCGCTGCCACCATTATTCCACCAACGCTTTTTCCATCACCGCACTCTACCACCGCTGGTGCGGGTATCATCGGGGGTGCGAGATGTCTCTGGCGGATGACAGGGTTGTGGGGACATATACTGCTGTTGTTCTGTTATAACATCTTCAGAACACCATCTTGGTTTTATGATTCGGAGTGAGTATTGGAGCACCGATATTTTCAATAATTGTATTATGTTGTATTATTGTATTTTTATACTGTTCTTATTGTTTTAATCTGGCATTTATGCCCTTGTTATCCACCCTGAGCCTTCGGGGAGGGCGGGATACAAATCTAAAGAATAAATAAAAAATAAATAAAAATAAGAGTGACAGGCTCTAATCTGGAAAACTGGGTTTGATTCCCCTCTCCTCTACATGAAGCCAGCTGGGTGACCTTGGGTCAGTCACAGTTCTCTCAGTATTCTCAGCTTCACCTATATCACAGGGTGTCTGTTGGAAGGGAATGTGAATGTAAGCTGCTTCAAGACTCCTTTAGGTAATGGAAAGTGGGGTATAAAACCAACTCTTCTTCTTTTCTCTTCCTCCTCCTCCTTAGAATCATAGAGTTGGAAATGACCTCCAGGGTCATCTAATCCAACCCCCTACATAATGCAGGAAATTCACAAATACCTCTTCCTCACCCCAGTGACCCCTGCTTTATGCCCAGAAAAGGGGGGATGCTCCAGGATCCCTGGCCAAACTGGCCTGAAGAACAATTGCTTCCAGACCCCAAAGAGTTGATCAGCATTTCCCTGAGTGTGTAAGAAAGGGCCACAAGAACTAAGCAGTGATGCAACCCTTCCTGCCCTCCCTTTTTGTGATCTGCCTAAGTTCAAAGAATCAGCATTGCTGTTAGATGGCCATCTAACCTCCGTTTGAAAACCTCCAAAGAAGGAGAGCCCACCACCTCCTGAGGAACCCTGTTCCACTGAGGAACTGCTCTGTCAGGAAGTTCTTCCTAATGTTTAGCCAAAAACTCTTTTCTGGTCTGACCTTCTGGGGCAATAGAAAACAACTCCACCCCATCCTCTATAAGACAGCCCTTCAAGTACTTGAAGATCTACTATCAAGAAAAACAGACAGACAGATTGTTGAGTGTATATCTTTCAGTTCTGACCCAAGGGTAATGGTTCCAGCAAAGGCAACATGGTTTTGCCACCCCTTTCTATAGGGTTTAACTTATTTAAGTTGGCCAACGTATTTAAACCAAGGGTGATTTCTCACGAGAGCTGCCTCGCAGCACAGCGCCGTTTGCCTCGACACAAACGTGTCAATTTCACACCCGAAGCTCCGGGGCTGCATTTTGACTCGGGGCTTCGCCCGATTTCCTCCGCAGTTTGTGTGAAATTGACACGTTTGTGTCGAGGCAAACGGCGCTGTGCTGCGAGGCAGCTCTCGTGAGAAATCACCCCAACTTATTTAAAACACCCCATCAGCTCTTTGTGTATCCTCACCTTACATACCAGGCATGTACCTTTGATAAACACAGGGGTGCCCCCTAGTCTCGACCAGCTCAGCAACAACCTAGAAAGGATCACAAGCAACACCAACCAAAGTTATGACTGACTGCCCCCGCAGTCGAGGGCAAGCTAAGTTTTAATGATAGGCTGTCACATTTTGCTGGTGCCTGGCGCCTTATAACTTTTGATAGTTGGGTTTTATTCATTATTATTAATGGTTATAGATTAGAGTTGTGTTCCCTCTCCCTTGTCAAATAGCATTTACAGTGGCTGACAACACATACCCAGAATTGAAGTTTCAGTTGAAAGAACTTCTAGATAAAGGGGTGGTAGAGGAGGTTCCCAATGGTTTACTCTCTGTAGGTTTCCACTCAAGATTCTTTTTAGTAGACAAAAAGGATGGTGGGCACAGACTGATTTTAGATCTTAGGTCATTAAACAAGCATTTGATTGTTTCAAAGTTTAGAATGGTCTCCTTGTCTTCTGTGATTGAGTTACTTAATTTGGATATGAGGTTTGCAGTCTTAGTTTTAAAGGATGCTTATTTCCATTTGTCAGTCCCACAGACGATTTTTACATTTTCACAAAGGTAGTAGGTTTTTCTATTACATTGCACTCCCTTTGGGTTAGCTACCACTCCAAGAGTTTTCATTAAATGTATGGCTGTTGTGGTTGTGCACCCTTACTAGGGTGACTGGCTGATAGTTACACACAGCCATGAATTATTGTCTGACCAAATTCACAAGGTTATCATCTTGTGGAACCCATCTTGGAGTAATAAGATTTAACTTCTAGAGCACCGCACTTTATTTAATTATGCTGTTTTTATGCTGTTTTAACTGTTTGTTATGGCATTTCCCTCTGTTGTTAGCCACGCTGAGCCCATTCGGGGAGGGCGGGATAAAATCTAATAAATAAATAAATAAATACCTGCACAGACTTGGGTCTAGTACTGAATTTGGAGAAGTCTTGGCTCAAGCCGTCTCAGAATGTTCAGTTTATTGGTGCTTCTCTGGACTCCCTGTGGATATGGCTTTCCTGCCCCCTGACAGAGCAAAAAGCCTTAAGGCAATGGTGATGGCTTGTATCAGGAAACAATGGCAACCAGTTAGAATTTGCCAGGGTAAATGTTGGACTTCCTCTTTATCAATAAACTGCATCAGTGTCTCCATGAATAGGTAGATTTATTGTATTCTTAATTATGGTTTTAAATTTCAAGATTAGTATCTAGGGGTTGTGGGTTAGCATCAGAGAGAGAGTAATCATCAGTCTGTCCTAGTTAATTGTGATGGTCTTGGTAAGAATCCATCTTTAAGTGCCATCATTCATTGAAGGGAACTCACCTTTTGGTCGTGGCTTTTTTCCATTAATGAAAATACATCAATAGAACACTTCAGAGCATTTTAATGTTATATATTTTGTTGTCTGGGAGAACAATGACAAGCTTGCTTTGGCAATCACCCATATTAACAATATTAACAATATATCCAGAGGTCATTTCGGGGGGGAACGTGGGGGGAACGCAGTTCCCCCAGGTGAGGTGCAGGGGGGCGGGGCACATGACAAAGCCCCGCCCCCTGCTTCCGGCCGCCTCGCTTCCAGCCCTCATTCAGCCAGGAGGAGGCAGGAGAAGAGGGAGGGTAAGTTGCTTCCTCCCCACCTCTCCCCACCCCTGCCTGCCTAGGGCCAGGGAGGGCCTTGGCGGGGCTTCCTCGCACTCCCGCTGGCCTTGCAGGTCCACCGCCGGGCCCCTGATGTCAGGGGGTGTGGCATATGCTAATGAGTTATGCTAATGAGTTCCCCTAGCTCTTTTTCTACGAAATGACCCCTGAATATATCTATAACGACATATTTCCCTGGAACCAGGGTGCTTTTGGTGTAGTGGTTAAGTGCTCGGATAATCTGGGAGAGCCGGGTTTGATTCCCCACTCCTCCACTTGCACCTGACTGGATGACCTTGGGCAAGCCGTAGTTCTGATAAGAGCTGTCCTTGAAAAAGAGCAGTTTCTGTCAAAAGCTCTCTCGGCCCCACCTACCTCACAGGGTGTCTGTTGTGGGGAGGGGAAGGGAAAGGAGTTTGTAAGCCGCCCTGAGACACCTTTGGGTAGTGAAGGGCGGGGTATAAATCCAATCCTTCTTCTTCTTCTTCTTTGGGGGAAAGTGGTGCCAGAACTCTCAAGAGGGAAATGAACATTTCAATCTGTGTACTGAAAACTCATGAACCTTTAAACATTTTAAAAATAATTTTGCCAAAGAGGTTCCAGAACTTCATTCCGGTGCGTTCCCCCAGAAAAAAAGCCCGGCCTAGGATAGTATATTCCTCTAGAATGATATATTCCAAAGACTGAAAGAGACCCTTTGTTTAATTCACAGGAGATGTGTGTGACTCCAACCCTTGTGAAAATGGAGGCATTTGTCTGTCAGGGTTGGGAGATGACTTCTATTCTTGTGAGTGTCCTGATGGCTTCACAGACCCCAACTGTTCTAGTGTTGTGGAGGTTGGTAAGTGCAAATAAAACATAACAAAACAAAACAAAACCAAACCCATTGTTGATGTGTATCATTAATTGCTGAATATATAAATACATGCATTTTTGCAGTGCTCAGATCATTATCTTGTTCACTAGTAATACTGTGATTTTAGTGTTTGTGGTGTTTCTATTATCTTACATGTCTGTAATAAATGGCTGGATCCCTCACTCAGTTAATCTATCCATTATTCTGACATTTGGGAATAGGTTGAAATAATTTGTGTGTGGTAGTTTACTTACCTTGTGGCCAAAATGTATAGTATATCTGGCTATGCTATCACCACCATTCATTGGCAGGAATTTCTATTGTGTAGTATGCAAAATTCCCCATATAATGCAAGAAATCACAGCATGTAAAAGCTATCATGAGGGAGTTATTTCAAATAGCCTTGTCATGGATGGCATGATGTGCAAAGAGGCCTTTAGGAATCATTTGTGCTGGACCAATAAGTCCAAGTGGACTTTTGATAGCAGAGTTAACAATTCAGAAATAATCACAGTGGATTCAAAATATAAGTAGAGTATTAACATTTCAAAGATGTCAAATGATTTCTCATACTGTACATATTAGTTATCATGAGCCTGCAAGCAATAGCACATTATTGAAGACATTTTAAAGCTATTTCCTGTCTATGGCCAGTGTGTGGAAGGAAGCTTTTGTGGGATAGCAAAAATAATACAGTTGGTTTGTCAAGCAAATGAAGCATTGCAACCTAGTCAAGAATGTGGAGAAATGGAGGCCCAGGGAAATTAAAGCTTTGAAGTTTAGTTGTACTTGGCCAGGAAACTTCAGTGTTGCTCATTATATTTCAGTAGTTTCCAGACCAGTTTTCTCAGTTAATGAGGGGGGAAAAAGATTTGTTGTCTTCCAACTCTACAAAGTCAGCCTGGGATTCATGAGTCAGGCCACTTTTTCCTTTTCATGAATCATCTTCAGTAAATAAAAGTTAAACAGGCTAAAGGAAATCCGCAGTGACAATGCTAAGTGTCCCAACGCATGCCAACAGACTCACTGCATAGTGATAGTGGTTTTAATGTGTATCACAGGCTAAACAACTCATAGGACTAGTTGACAAACAAAGCAGAGAGTGGTGGCGATGTGGTCTCGGAGTCCTGAGTGGTAGAATGGTCTGCATGACTTCAGACTGTAGCTGGTAAATTCTACCTTTTGGTGTTTTGTTGCACAAAAACTTTCATGCAAAAAAAAAGTAGTATAATGGGGAGAAAGAATCTACCTCTTCTCATGGTTGTCATGTCGGTTTTCTGTTTGCAAGGAGTTTTTTCAACATTTAAAAGCATTTAAAAGTGTGATTCTGCACATACAGTCAGAAGTGGTTCAGTCCATTCCACCTCTTCAAGACTCTGCTACCTTATCCCCCTGCATGCATGAACCAGGCCTTTGTTATTTGACTTTTCTGGTGAGCGTTAAGAGTATCACCTTTGCATAAGAATCCAACTAAGCCTCATGTTTGAAAAGGCCTTAACTTCATTAAGCATATCTTAAATGTAGGTACATCTACCATTATAACTAAGTGTCATTTGAAGGAGTATACATTGCCTTCAACCTCCAGTCAATTGTCTATGCTGAGGGAAGCAGACAGGTGAACTGAAAAGGCTGTAGGGTATGCCTCACAATTTGTGACCCATCAAGTTGCAATCAGCCAACCAACCAGGTATCTGGCAGGTCACAGTGCATAAATGATGGACTGCTGTCAACGTCATGGGTCACAAGTTGTGGAAATGGAGGAAGAAAATGGCAATATGAAAGGAGGGAAAGCAGAACTGAAGGGCAATCACTGAAATATATTGGTTGAACTTTAGCCAATATATTTCAGTAACTGCCCTTCGGTTCTACTTTCCCTCTTTTCACATTGCCATTTTCTTCCTACATTTCCAAAACTTGTGACCCATGATGTTGACAGCAGTCCATCAATTATGTGCTGTGACCTGCCAGATACCTGGTTGGTTGGCTGATTGCAACTTTATAGTATTTCTGTGGGTTCTAATATGTCACAATGCAAACTGCTTATCATGGGTCAGCCTGAGCTCAGCATGAAGTCCTCAGGGGACGAGGACTCCTCAGGAGAAGGGGAGCCACACGTGGCTGGCTCTGAGTCAGCAGAAGCCACCAAGCAGGTTGATGAACTACAGGCTGACCAAGACTCACCACCAACACTTGATCCACAGCCACCACCCAGCTCTGATGCAGCAGGTGAGACTCAAGTGATTAAAACCAGTCCACCAAGCTCACCGCCACCCTTTGAGTGCCGGAGGCAGAAGCTTAGAAGGGAGCTGCAAGCAAGGAGAAAGAATGAGGCAGAGTGCATGTCTTCTGGCCTGTTGTCAGCTGCTTGCTAATGACAGCCTGGAGTAGTTGCAGCAGTACTACCAAGCAGCTGGCTGCTAACAATGGCCTGTTGGGAAGTGCCTATAAAACTAGGACTGGGAGTGGAAACAACAAGTCATTCTGCTGGACTCTGTGACCTTGCTTTCTGTGTGTGACCCTGGGCTGGCTTGGGACTTTGACTTTGTGATTCTCTGGCTTGTAGATGACCCTTGAACCTCCTGCCTATGTTCTCTGCTTTACCACTTCTGGTAACAATTCTCTGGCTTGTGCACTTTTGGCTTGTGGACTTCTGGGACTGGGCTTTGTGTGAGCATCTGAATGAGTCTGGTGTTCCTGCCTGTGCCTCCTGCATGACACAGCTTTTCAAAACTCTAGGCAAATCAGCAATTTAACCTGATAAAATATTATATTTGCTCCCCAAAAATTGTTTGTTCCAAATAGTGATGATGTAACTGCATGTCATCCAGTTTGCCTGTCCAGATAGCAAATTATTCATATCTAGATATGTGGTAAGTTACCTAGTTTATATGTAAGATGAGAGCTAGCAAGCCATAAAACTGAACAGATGACAGAAGCATATACCAACTGAAATTATTATGATCTAATCTAAATGCACAGTGAGTACATTTCAGTAACACCAGCCAATTTGCCAGCATCAGCTGTCATATTGCAGACTATTGTTGGCATGTCTTCATTCCAACAAGAATCTTTGAGAAGGTGGCACTTTCAACCCTTTTCATATTTCCCTTTCCAGATGACAATCCTCAAGGAACCAGACTTGGCCTAGTTTTTCATCCTTACATTGTGGTGTTAGGCATTTTCCTTTCATTTTTATTTCCCCCATCCATGTGCCATCTGTGAATAGGTGGTTCCCTACTTTGACCAAGCATTCCCCTAGAATGTAAACATGCAACCTACACTAAGAGCCAAACTATTGGCCCCTGCCACACGGGGGGGGGGGGGGGAGCGAGGACAAAGGGGGGGTCTTTTGAAAGTTGCACCAAAAGAGACATGCGGCGGCGGGATCACATAGATCCCCTGAGCTGCTGCGCAGTTCCTCCCTGGCACTATCAGATGCCGGGGGGGGGGAGCCACTGAAGGAAAGACACAGGAGCCGAACTGCGCATGTGTGCGCATGCGCAGTTTGACCGGGAGCCTGGATTGCTCTGGACGACGGGCGCACCGGCAATCCCATGGCTGTGCTCGATGCGGCGTTCCTGGTAAGACCTCCTCTGTAGGAGGTTCTTTTTTGCAGTGGGTTTTCCATCTTTAGGGATGGATCGGGGACGGGTGCGCTCCGCTTCCCAGATGTTGCGGTGAGATCGCACCCATTTGCTGCGCCCCCGATCCATTCCTCTCCCGGGCCAAAACCTCCGTGTGACCGGGACCTATGTTATTTTTTCACTTGTTTTTCTTTGTTCCCTGCAGCCTCACAGCAATGGTGAACTGCCTCAAAAGAGAGAGAGAGAGAGAGCCCAAACAGGCTCAGAAGAGCAGCATGAATGGAGGAAGAGCTCCTCCCTCCCCCCGCCAAGCAGTTTCTTTCATGAAAACCACACTGGGGGGAGTTATTTCACCAATTTTGCTGCTCTACATAAAGTATATGTGCATGTGGAACAGCAAAATTGGTGAAAAGCCCCCCATTAGTGTGTGTTTTGCATGATAAAATAGTGGGGGGAGCAGGACCCCTCCCCCCACTGCCATTCAGAGCCCACTTGGGATGTCCTTCTTCTTTTTTAGAAGTAGTTTCCCACAGTTGCTGTGTGGCTTTGGAGAACACAGGAAAACAAGGGTAAACAAGTGATAAATGTAACATATAGTGTCACGACCCCGCCTTGCCATCTCTGTGCTACCGCCCAAGCTTAGGGCTGCCTTAGAGACCCTGGGCAATTTTACCTTTATCAGGGTCATTTCAACCAGCACAATAGTGAATAAACTGAGATAGTTTGGTAGCTTATCTTTTCTAATAGCCTGAGCGTTTCCGAAGGCGCAATGGATTGGTCATTGACTCTGTCTAATTATAAAAATATATATTTGTTGCAAAGAACAATGACAGTTAAAACCACAAGCAATGTAAGGGAAAAGACGAGTGTACAAAGACAAACAAAACAAAGAAACCTAACTCTCTAGTTACTTAACCTTGAGTAGATAGTCCTCAGTAGCAATACTGTAGTAGCTGGGCTTTGTGCCAGGGAATAGTCTTGCCTCCTCCCAATGTAACAGTCCTAGACCAAGGTTACTGTCCATCTCTCCTGGAAGGGTGCTGTAATTCTCCTGCATACATCCTGGCCTTTCACTCCAGCATAACTTTGAGCAGATGCACACAGTTCCTAGCGTCCAGACTCAGCTTCTGGCTCTCTCTGGCTTTTCTAGCTAGTCTCTAGCTGCCTGCTTGCTTCCTACTAAATAGTAGCTCAGCTGTCATGTAATTACTACCCTAATTAGTGGTTGACACGTGGTGATCTAGATCTTTGGCTGTCAAGATTTCCCTTAGTCATGCTGAGGTTTGACAGTATCCAGCTGCACTAAGTTGTAACAACGGGTCATTGTTAACAGGTGGTTGTATCAGAGTTACCTGTTCTACTCACGTGATTCTTCTAAGACTTACTAACTAAACAATGCAA